TTTCATGCTCCCACGGATTTGGTGTTAATGAGATTTTGTTTGTTAAGCTCACAGAACGATAGTGTCTGAAAGACAGACACAGCCTTCCCCTACCCATTCTTCCATTGAGACACAGTTTAGTGGACCATCCCTGTGGTGGGACAAGGCCAGGACCCTGCCTATGGGCCACCCCTCTAGCAATGCTGAGGACACACCTTCAGGATCCTGACCGGTCTTGCACTTTCATCTGCCCTGCTATAGTCAGGAATGTCAGATATTCACGGACAGACCCAAGTTGCAGTAGGATGGACACTGACCATCAGACAACCAACGTGGCCAACCTTGTCATTGGAGCCGCTGAGTGGCTACAAGCTGCAATGCTCAGTCCCCAGCCCTGCAGGCAGCAGCACCCCTGGGAGATACTCTAGGGAGATTGGGCAAGAGGCCTGGGTATCCCAGGAATGGGAGAGACACCCTCTTAAGTGGGGCCTTCCCATGCAATCTCAGAAGACTTGGGGCCACTCCTGTTGGTTCTCATCACTGCTCAATACTCAGGCCTGCAGAGCCAGGCTGCTTGGTCCCCATTCCTAGGAGCTACCAGGACAAAACTGGCAGTGCTGGGGAACCCGGAGGTGTGGGGCACAGACCCTGTCCTTGGACTTACTTGTCATGCACTCCATGCCTCTCAGTTATCCTGTGGTCCGAGAAGCAGAGCTGAGCATGTCCAGGCTGGTTCAGCTATGCCTTCTGCCCGGGAAGCTCTCAGTTCCCCAAGGGGCGCCTGCCTTGCCCTGAGCTACCTGACTGAGACCTGCTGAGGGTGTGTGAGCTGACGGGGTTGCCCAGGCAGAGGGGCAGACAAGGTTCTCAGCATCAGGCACTCAAGGCAAGTACAGAAACTCCTGCCTCATGACAGAATTTAATATACACAAATTTAAACTTAAGAAACATATAAATTAAAGATAAACAAAATATTCTTTACTTTATTAAAGAATTTGCTATAGGAACTGCTTCAATGAATAGTGAGGTTTCCCTACCTGAAGCATTTAAGATGTGATTTTCTTTGAAAAAAATGTGATTTACACGCACATTTAAAAACACAGCTATTGTATAAGAGCAATTTGGGCTCATTCACTTTGATTATTATAATAACCACTGATGAGCTGTACAAAAGTGGCAAATCTCATAAAATACCTGATCTCCCCCTCTCTATTTGAGAGAAAGTAGAATATGTTATTCATCTTACCTATTTAACAGAAATGCGGGGTAAATGGAACAAGCTGTGAATAAGGCTTGAAAATAAAGTGATTTGTGCAGACAACACAAACTTCGCTTCCAAATTAGGAGAAGATTATCACATTATTGGATAATCCAGGGGATCTGGGACATTGGTTTGGCAATCTAAAGTGCTTTTGTCTTGTGTTTTCCAGCCAACTACTCAGGTTCCATCTTGAGGTCAGAGTGTCTCCTGGAGGGACCAGGCTGCTGGCAGTGGCCCCTGGGGCACCAGGGGGCGTCCAAGGCTATGATGTCACCTCATTTCCCCAGGAGACACCTGTGCCCCTCTGTCCACACATATCTGCAGCCCTCTCGGTGCCCATAGGGTGAGATCACCCAGCCAAGACCAGCTCTCGTCGAGGGTCAGACACTGTGTCTATTCACAGGCTCCCGTCAACCCCCAACGCAAGGGTGCTGATGTCAAGGACCTGGGCATGGGGCAGAAGCAGGGGTTTCTCCTCTTTAACAGTGAGGGTGGACCGTGCCCACCACCCATTCTGCACGGCTTCTGGTTAGAAAACGTACCTGGGAAGACGGGAATCCTGGACTGCCTAAGACTGTTCACAATAACCAGTGCAGAGGCCCATGTTTATACCCTAAACAGGCCAGGACAGATCCTCCAGGATTCGGACAACCTCCTCTCTCCACCTGTCAACAGCCCCAAGTTAATTCTTGACTAATTGGGGGATTAGAAGACATTTGTAACTACTGAATCTAGCTCCAAAAGAAACATACCCCCCAACTAGAGTATTAAAGCATGAAAAAAGCCCCCATTGTCCCATCTGACTTAAAACTGTTCTACGGCAGCTGCCTGGAAGGAGCTTCACACCAGCCAGCCCTCTCCAGCAGCCCCAGAAGGGCCTGGAGGAAGGCAGAAGCCAGTGCAGCCCTGACACCAGGAAGCTGAGAGTGGCAGAAAATGCATCTCACAGAGCGGTGTACTCACTTGGCATCCCCACCCTTGTTGCTTGTTCTGGGGAATGCTGCATTCTGCCTGGACCTGGGATGATGGTACCTCTCGCTCACAAGCTACCTCCATGGCAGAGAACACACAGGCCCATCAGTTCAAGTCCTCAGGAGAAGCACAATCACGTATGTCCAGAAGCACAGCTGCCAGAGTCAGGGTGCAAGACAGGTCCAGTGTGTGCCAAGCACCCGGCTCATGAGAAGCGCCCCAAGACCAAAGGCAACCAGCAATTCGGTCCATGATATAACTGCCCCCGGCTCATGAGAAGCGCCCCAAGACCAAAGGCAACCAGCAATTCGGTCCATGATATAACTGCCCAGCACAGACATGAGAGCAGAGACCCCAGCCACCACCGTTTCTTAACTCTAGTTGACCCCATTTAAGAAGCATTCTGAAATGCCTTTACAGAGAGCGCCCCGCTCCCCGGGGCAGCAGCCACAGTGGCCTGAGGGGAAGTGGCTTATAGAACGTTCCATCCCAACGTCTCTGTGCAGCTAAGTCCGTGTGTTCCCAAGGGCTCACTGTGGCCAGGCTAAGCTGATGGCACTGTGCACAGTCTCCAGCCTGGCATGGGCCCACAGGAACCAACATAAATCACACAACACACCGCTCAAACCAATCACTGCTTCAAATGCCTTCACTTAGCACAGAGCCAAGCAGAGTCTTTCAATCCAGCCTTAAAAACCAACTGCAGATGCCCAAAATATTAATCACGTACCTGGGCTGAAAAAAGAATCAACAAAATGCCATTTATAATAGATGCTCTCGGTTTCAAAATAGACCAGCTACCTTCCTCCAAAGTGAGTCTCATCCTTCCTTTAAAGAAACACACACAACATCTCTCTGGTACAAATGACATTTATACTGTCATTGAACACATCTGTCACCAGATTTGATCTGTGCTGGCTGGCATGCTTTCTAATGTTTACAAGTGTTAAGTAATGTTGAAGGGTATTTAGCAGCATTAATAATTTGGGTCTTACTTCAAAATGTGAGCCACAGAAGCAGCTCCAGCCTACTTGCTTTTTTTCACTTGCCACAGCCCCTAAGAAGGCTATAACACTTATATAAGCTGGAATTTAACTTAGAAGTCCTGAAGTCACAATCAAACTTCCAGTTCACAATTCCTGACTACTCAGCAGCCGGGCTCATCCTGAACATCACAGAGAAGAAATGGGGTCTGGAATAATATTCGCATTTGCCTCCCCAGAGTCCCCCTAAACACCCAGGGCAAGGATGTGCTCCTCTGTAACGAGTCACTGGGCAGTCCACACATGTGACTCTAGACAGGTCAGAACGCAAAGCTCTGGGATGTGTCACCTGGTGCCCTTCCTGCAAGGAGAACCCGAGTCACAAGCCACAAGAATGTGCTGTCCTTCTGCAGGAAGGTGTCATCCCCTCTTCCTTCCCCCCCATCATGCGTGGACTTGCCTGAGAGCACCTGAGGCCCTCTCCCAGCACCACAGGCAGCTGTGGTTTTATCCAGCACCCCTGCGCCTCCAGCCTGGCCTGTGAGGCATCTCCTGAGCCTGACTGTAAGAAGACTCCATGAGGCCCCTTCCCCAAGTCAGAGATGCCAACAAGCGGAGCCCAGACACTGAGCTGCCTGACCACAGAGGCGCTTCCTGTGATTCCCAAGAGGCCAAGGGAGCTGTGGGACTATCTTTAGGCAGGGTGGAGGCTGGTCCAAGAGGCACTCCAGAGTCACCTCAGAAGACATGTGAACTTCTGAGGGGGCCTTCCCCATCCTGGCTGCTTCCCCAAGGCCTATGCCCTCAACTCAGGCTCCCACCGGCAGGGGAAGGACATTTGGCCACACTTTGAGAACCCTGAGGTTTCAGCCTGGTAGGAGGGTCCCTGGCTGTGCTGCCTGGCCTGGATGCCCCCCAGAAGCCCCCAGAGAACCACACTGAAGTCACTACAGACACTGGAGAGCATAAGGGACTTATAGAGCTGAGGACAAGGCAGGAACTTTGCCCCATGTCCCCCGACATTCAGTGAAAGCAGCAACAGTGAATGACCCCTTCAAGGAGCCCTGAGGTGGTTCACTGTACCAACACGTCAAGACACTCGCCAAGGTCAGCTGAGAGGCCAGAACTCAGAAGCCAGAATGGCCCAGGTGGCAGCTCATGGTGTAGAGCCTGCAGACCACCATGTTTAAACGCCCACAGGAGCTTGGGGGGGGGGGTAAGAGTCTGAAGGGCAGGGCTAAGACCCAATATAGTGTGTCTCCCCCAAATGAGTGCTATTTCCATTGTCTCCACCAAAACAGATCTGGTGCTCCCTGATGAGGTAAGGGTAGGGCTCCACGGAGCCCTGAGTCAGACTCCACATGAGCTTGTTCCCACTCAGGGTCCCACCAACGCCTACATCCTGTCACCTAACCAACACAGTCCTGCGTTCATTTCCCATTTTCACCCTCAGTAGAGGGGATGGTCTGCTTCTCCCATGAATGAGCCTGGTGCTGCCACAGCCTTGCAAGGAAGGATGGTTTCCACATGCAGTGCCGAAAGGAGCTTTAAAAGATGATATTGCAAAGAGATGCAAAGAAAGAAAAAGAAAACAGGGAAGATGAAAAGCAAGCCCGTTACAAAAGATAAAGTTGATTATCTGAAATGCTGGGTATATTCACCAACAAAAATAGATATGATGTGAATACATGCAAAGGTTAAACAAACACCCCCCTGACCTCAGCGCTGATGCACACTGTCTCCAAGGCTTAAACTTGCTCCCAGGTATCTGCTACTTTCTGATACAGGCCGGACCATGTGCTGGAATGCAGTCCCTGGCCAGACTCACCCACGTGAGAGAAGAGGCACGCTTGGACCACTGGTTCCTCAGCAACTTGGAAATCTGTTCTCCATTTTCTCTGGTCATCTACATCAGTGAGTCCACACTCACACCTTCCTCCCTTCTCATGAGCACGCAACATCTCCCTTCTAGCAAAGGCCACACCAAAGAGGCCAGCCTGTCTTCGGGTCACCTGTCCCTGACCCACACAGAGATCAATTTTTTTGTGTGGGAAGCCACGGGGTCCAGCTGAGTGGATTCCAGGAGGCTGTTCACACTGGAATCTGCAGGAGGGATCCGGCCCACAAGCACCGCCTGGGCCATCGACTCAGGACATGGTGGACACAGCTCTAACCTGTGTCAGTAGCACGGAGAGACATTCATCACTACAACGACCAACAAGTGGGCAGGAAGGAACAAGGGTCTCACGGAGCAAAGCAAGAGCACAGACTGCACTTCTGTGGGGCCTCTGTGGACTTGACAGGAAAAGCTCCCTCCCTCCTTCACACCTGCCATTTGCTCACACTTATCGGAGCCTCTGCTCACACCCACACTGCCTCTGCTCACACCTACCCGCTCTCTGATCACACTCCCTCCCACCCACCTGCTTCTTTGATGGCACTAGCCCAGATCACAGGACATCCTTGCAATACTCAGGACCCTGGCCCACCCCTGGGTCCCTCTGCTGACCCCTGACCCATCTCAGGATCCTACTGCTAACATCTGACCCAACCCTGGATCCCACTGTCCCAACCCCTGACCCATCTCCAGATTCCACCCACCTCTTGACCCACCCTGGAGCCTACTGCTTTCACCCCTGACTTTTAACCCATCCCAGAGCAGACTACTCTGACATCTAGCCCAGAATTCTCCTGCAGAAGGAAAAGCCTGGGATCTACTGGCAGGAAGGAACCACCTGCAAGGCCACCCTTCATGGGATCTACTGGCAGGGAGGAAGATCTTCCTCTATGGGATCTATTAGCAGGGAGGAGCCACCTGCAGAAACCCCCACCCCATCGCTGCCCCTTGGGCTGCCCAACCCTCCCCCAACATACACACAGAACACTGTGCTGATCCCTGCCAGGGCCTCCTGCCATTCACTGTCGACCTTTCCACCCAAGCAGGGCACTGCAAGAAAGGCAGGTTCTAATGTCCCAGCTTCTGCGAGACTGGGCACAGTGGTGATCGCTAGTCACCTGCAGAACCCGCCACAAACCCATGCTCCAAAGCAGGGCCTGAAAAGGGAGTTGTAGGACCAGTGCTGGAGGGAGTGGGACCTGCCTCGGGCAGGGGCGGGAATCTCACTGACCACTTTGGGACTCTCACCCAGCGTCTGCGCCATCCAGGACAAGTTCCCAAAGGCAAGGACAAAGTGTGCCCTCCAGGGCCTGGTAACTCTGGAACCAGCTCCCCTCTTGGGGCTACAGGCCCTCCCGCATCCCAACTCAGATGAAAATGCACATCAAAGAGCTGAAGTTTATTATGCATTTTTGCTTTTGTCTCCTGGAGCTGGATTTCTTCCACGCTCTTTATTCTCTCAGTGCTCAACGGCTCCAATTTAGGAAGAAGGAGAGAGAGAGAGAGAGAGAGAGAGAGAGAGAGAGAGAGAGAGAGAGAGAGAGAGAGAGAGAGAGAGAGAGACGGAGCCTACAGCGCTGAGCAGTTTGCAGGATTTTGCAGAATCTCCATCATCCTCCCTCCTCCTCCTCTCCCCTTCCCCCAGGCTCGCTCCACGTCACAGACCGAGGGAGCTGGGCGCCTGCCGCGGGTCGGGCAGACCCGGGCTCCTCGGGGACGGAGGTTCGGGGTCCCCCTTCTCCGGCGGGCGCACCCCTTGGCGTCCAACTGCCGCTCCAACTGCCCGGGGCGCAACTGCAGAAGGCAGCGACGAGCCACAAAGCCCGGCCCGCCCTCCCGCCAGCCTCCAGCACGCCGAGAGCCGGGGCAGAGCCGCTGCGGGCCGGGAGACGAGGCCGCTCGGCTGCAGACGCGGGGGCCGTGCGGAGGAGGCTCCGCGGCCTGGGCCCGCAGAGGCCGCGGGGTCCGAGGGCGCGGCCGCGGGGAGCTGCACCCGCCGACACTTGCCCCCGCGGACGCCGCAACTTGCAGACAAACGCGCCGGCTCGCGGCTTGGGAGCGGAGGAGGGAGGCGCTCTGGCTCCCGCCGCGCCGCCCGAAGGGGCCGGTTCCCCGAAGCAGAACCGGGCCGGGCCGACGCCACGGGAAGCGCGAGGGGCGTCGGAACCGGCGGGGAAAGACCGGGCCGGCAGCCCCGCCACGCCGTGCCTCTCGCTCCCAAGCCGCCGCGCAGCGCCCCGCGCCGCCCTGGCCAGCTCCCCGCCGCCCGGGCCTCGGCCAGAGTCCATCCGGGGCCCCCGTGCCGGACTCGCCGCCCGCCCGCGGGAGCCGGGAAAAGTGAACAATGAAAGTTGCTTCCCGCGAAGCCGGGGGTCCCCGCCGAACCCCCGCGCAGAGTCCGCGCGCCCGGACCGGCAGGACGCGAGGCTGCGGCGCTCCGGGCTCGCCTCAGCGCACGCCGGCCCCGGGCTCTCGCTCAGCGACCCCCACTGGCGGGCCTCGGCGCCGCTCAGCGCCCCCGCCCGCGCCCCTGCCGGGCGCCCACCCCCGCCAGCAGCCAGCAGGGGCTACGCGCCCACACCTTCGACCCGCGCCGCTTTCTTCTCCACGGCCTCCGGCCCAAACCCGGGCCGCGCTCCGGCCGCCGCCCCCGGAGGACGCGGCCCCGACCCCCGCGCGCCCGCGGCGTCCATCGGCATCTGGGCGCGGGTTCGCCGCCCAGACCCACCCATCCACCTGCAGCGGCGCCGCGGCTCTCGGGCCTGCCCCGATCCCTGGCCCCAAACTTAGCCAACTCTGCGGCCGACCTCCGGCCGCCGCCGCAGAACCCCCAGCCCCCCGCGCGCCGGCTGCCGGCGGCGACCCGAGCCGCGGCCCGGCTGCTACTTCCCGGGGCCGAAAGTTGCCCCGCGCGCACCGCCGGCCCGAGACCCCCCTGTCTCCCACGCGCGCTGCCCCCGCTGGCGCGAGCCCCCCAAACGCGCCGCCCGCTCCTGCCCGAGTCCCCCGAGCACGCTGCCCGCGCCGGCCCGAGTCCCCCGAGCGCGCAGTCCGCTCCCGCCCGAGCCCCGGAGCGCGGTACACCCGCCGCCCGAGCCCCCGAGCGCAGTGCCCGTCCCGCCCGAGCCCCCCAGAGTCCACGAGCGCGCTGCCCCGCCGGCCGCACGCACCCGAGCTCCGCCGGCAGCCCGCGCCGCTCCGCTCCGTGCTTCCTCCGCGCTCTCCGCCGCCGCAGTGCCCGCGCGCTCTCCGGGCCGAGGGCCGCTCGCCGCCGCCCGCGGCCGTGGGCTGGCGGAGGAGGGACGGTCGCGATCCCGAGCCTCGGGCCCCTCACCGTGCAGCCTGCCAAGGGGAGCGCGGCCGCGGGGTCTGCGCCGGGCCACCGCCGCCGCGCGCCGCCCGGCCGCCCCGGCTCCCCATCGCCGCCGTGCCAGGCCCGCTCCGGCACCTCCTCGCGCCTCCCTCGCCGTCTCCTCCTCCCAAACCCGCGCACGGCGCGAGCAGCAGCGTCGGGTCGGGGATGCCGGGCGATCTCCGAGCGCCGCGCGGGGCGGGGTGCGCGGAGGGGGCGGCGCGGCGCGGCGGGCGGGGGCGCTCCCGCCCGGTGCCGGCCGCTGCAGGGCCCTGCCACCAGCGCTTCCCCGGGCGCAGGGAGGCGCGCTGCGCCTGCCAGTGTAGGCGAGCTTCCTGAGGAGACCCCACCTAAAATACTCCCCGGCCCTGGGGGAAACCAAGGCGGCCGCCGCTACAACGGCTTCTGTGTAGTCCAGGAGGAGCCGAATGCTGGGCCTGGAGACAAAGGTTCCCTCAGGGACCCATCCTGGCCAACGGTCCCCACAAGGAGCTGGTGGACCAGGGGGGAGCCACGCTGAGTGGTCTCTGTCCTCTGTCCTCTGACAGAAGAGGAAACTGGGGATGAGAGGGCTCAGTCCAAGCAGCCCTGCCCGCTCCCCTGGGACTCTGCAGCCCCACGCAGACTGCCTGTCTCATTCATTCCAAGGTAGAGGTGACCATAATTTCCCCTCCCACGTTCCTAGTCACACACTCAGCCTCAATCAAGCACATAACCAGTCATGCACGCACTCAGCTTCACACTCATGCTCACACACACATTCATGCATGCACTCAATCTCACACTCACACACTCATGTAAGCACTTAGCTTCACCTCCACACATACTCAGGCTCATGTATGCATTCAGCCTCAATCAAGCTCATAACTAGTCATGTATGCACTCAGCTTCACACTCATGTTCACACACTCAAGCATGCACTCAGGCTCACACATGCTCTTACATGCACTCAGCCTCAAGTTCACAAATACTCATACATGTACTCAGCCTCAATCAAGCTCATATATACACACTTGCATGCACTCAGTCTCACACACACACGTGCATGCTCTCAGACTCACATTCACACATACTCATGCTCATATATGCACTCAGCCTCAATCAAGCTCATAACTAGTCATGTATGCACTCAGCTTCACACCATGCTCACACATTCATGCATGCATCCAGACTCTCAGGCTCACACACACTCTTGCATGCACTCAGCCACACACACACATACTCATGTATGCACTCAGCCTCAAACTGACACACACATGTGCATGCACTAAGCCTCACGGTCACACATATTCATGCTCATGCATGCACTCAGCCTCAATCAAACTCACACACATCCTTGCATGCACTCAGCCTCACACATACTCATGCATGCACTCACACTCATGCATGCACTTAGCCTCACAATGCTCTCACACACTCACATTCATACACTCAGTATCACTCTCATGGGTTCACACACATGTGCTCAATCTCACAATCACTCATTCATGCATGCGCTTAGCATGACAGTGTTTTGCACACACTTATGGCTGCACTCAGCCTTACACATATTTACACACTCACATGCATGTATTCAGCCTCACACTCAATATGCTCACACACCTCATCCAGTCTCACACACACACTCACTCGCGTCCACACTAATGCATGTAGTCTTACACTCACATGCTCACACACATAGTCATGCATGCACTCAGTCTCACATCATTCATATATTCACACTCATATGTGCACTCATACATGCACACATACCAATGGGCTGGGCTCACATAAACACTTATGCACTCATATTCACTTCCATGCATGCACTCAGTCTCACATTCACCAGCTCACACACTCACATTCATGCATGTACTCATACTCAAGCACTCACACACTCAAGCATACTCAGTCTCACATTCATACTCACACACATCTACTCGCACATTTACAATAATGCACACACTCATGCATGGTGTACAACTGTACTCATATCTGCACATTCACAACTCAGTCTCACATCAAGGCCCACATAATCGCATTCACTCGTATACACTCATTTCACACTGACAATTCACCCTGCTGCATTCTCATGCTCTGACCTGAATCCAGGCACGTCTTTGCCACCTGCATGGAGACACCCCCAACCAGTGCCTTGGTCCTGGAGAAGTCACACCAACTCCCACCTCCCCCACCCCCACTCTTCACCCATCCCCCCGCCCAGGACCTGGCACCTAGCCTGCCTGATTGGCACAGTGGTCACCCTGACTCTCCCGAGACCTTCCGGGGAACCCTGAAGAGCAGACAGCTCCACATCCATTGACTGACTGGAGGCAGCGGCCATGTGCGAGGCCTTCATTGTTGGGGAAGGTTGGGGAGCACCCACAAGCTGAGGAGAGCCCCTCCCCTCCACAATGGGCTCATCCAAATTATCTTGCTCTGATTTTCATTTCAGCAGCTTTTGGAGGCACTGGAGAGCTTATTACCATATAAATATGTCCCTGGGACTGACACAACGTAGCTCACTCGGCAGCAGCAATTCGACTGAGTCAGTTTCTTTCCACACGAATGCCCTGTGCAAGCTAAAGCTTGCTCGTGCTGGACGCAGGCCCTCTAGGGAGTGGGCCACCACTCACCGGCCACCGTGATGCTCTGGGAGACAGAGCCAGCAGCAGGCAGGCCATGTCCACCTTCTGCCTGGGAACGCAGCCAGAAGAGTGGGTGTTGGAGGTCTGTGCTGCTGCCCCAGTGAGGCGCCCATTTTCCAGCACCCTTTGGGCTTCCTGAGACCTCTGGGCACCTCAAATTCAGCTCACCTGTGCTTGGCAGCATGTAGACAACATAGCAGCCAGGCTTTCCTCCAGGGAAGGCATCCAAAGGGCAGAGGCTTCCTGCAAGGATTTTTCTAGCCTTGCCCTGAGATGTGACAGTCTTTGGAGCACGTGTGTGAGTGTGAGTGGCGAGAGAGTTCAGAGAGCCAAAGCACAATTTGTGTGTGGGAGCCCTGAGTTCTATCTGCAACCCTACATGGTTCCCCGACCACCTCAGGAGTGACCCCCAAGCACTGAGCCAGGAGTAATGCAGAAGGAACACAACTAGGTATGGTCCAAACACCAAAGCCAAACAAGAGAGGTGCCAGAGAGACAGTGGAGGGTTAAGGCATATGCCTTGCATGTAGTGACGTGGGTGGCCTGAATAAACCTCATCCTCAGGTCCTAGCACTCACCCACTATTCTGGCTGTCTGAGTATCCCTGAGAGTCGCAGCCCAACAAATGTATCGCCCATAGTGCTGACTGCCCGAGGGTGTGTCCCGTTAAAAAGGGCCTGCTGGTGCCCACACAGTGGCAAACAGTCCACAGGAGGTGGGAGGCCTTTAAGGCAGAATCTGTTGACCATCTCACGTTTATGCCATCCCAGTTCTCCATACGAGGTCTGACAGAGCAAGCAAGAGACAGGAGTAACACCTAAGTCAAAGGCTTATCTGGTCATGAGAAACTCTGTAAGACCCCCTGACCAGGACAGGCTGGACACTGAAGTCCTCGAGAAGGGAGAAGAATTGAGGAAAACAAAATCTACAGAAAAACCAAGGTCCTTGTGTGTCCCTCCATACACCACTTCCAGCTCCCTGGGTTTGCCCCTCACTCTCACCACTGCAGACACAGTCAGTTCTGTGCAGGCTCTACCCGGGGCATGCCCACCAACGTCCATCAAGTGAAGGTCCCTAAGCGCTGCCTCACAGCCCCCTCACAACGAAGAGGGGTGTAAGGTACTGCTTCTAAGGAAGCACTTAGACAAAGGACGGGAGTTGATCAGCTGGGGTAGCAGAGAGTCTTCTGGGAACTGGGGAGGTATTTCTGCATGAAAAGAACCAAGTCCTCTAGTGACACAGAGTCAGTCTAAGGTGGTGATTGGACCCAAGTTCTGAGGAGATGGGCAGACAGTATTAGAATCTCCACTTTCCACATTCAGCTGCATCAATGAGTATGTCACCTCAAGTCCCTTCCCAGGTCCTATAATGCCATGTAAGAATATAAGAGTAACACAATTGTTCATAAAATCATGAATGTAGGGGCTGGAGTGATAGCACAGTGGGTAGGGCGTTTGCCTTGCACACTGCCGACCCGGGTTCGATTCCCAGCATCCCATATGGTCCCCTGTGCACTGCCAGGAGTAATTCCTGAATGCAGAGCCAGGAGTAATCCCTGAGCACCGCCGGGTGTGACCCAAAAAGCAAAATAAATAAATAAATAAATAAAAATTTTTAAAAATCATGAATGTAAATTCATGTGCTCAATGTGAAAAAGCAGCAAACATGTTTTAACTGACACTATTTTTTCTGACCAGACACAAATCATTTAGCTAGTGCTTCTCAACCTTTTTCCTTCAACCTTTTTCTTTCTTTGACTTCTTTCCCACCAATTTCTTCCTGAGGCCCTCTGCCTCATGGCTGGTTATGGCCCTATATGTAATTTTTCACCTGTGACCCCTCGGAATATTCTGGGACCCCTGAAGGGGTTATAGGGTCCTTGTTTGAGGAACAAAATCAAGTATACATTTTATAACATATAGAGTTAAAGTTGGTGCTAGGTGCCAGAACAAAATTTGGACTCTGCCACTTTACTTGTATGCTGAACTTCTGTGATTCTAACTCAGGATCTGAAAAGCCATCTTGGCATCCACAATCACAGAGTATCCTAGCCAACAGCAAAGCAATGATGCTCTGAGATATCCATGAAATTAATTTATATGAGGGGTCACTTGGGGATGGGATCATTTTAATTTCTTTTTCTCTTTGCTAATAATGTCCCATAGATTACAAATTCACCTTCTGAAAATTACAAATTACACTGTATAATTAAGAATTCACAAAATGATATTGTAACTCAAATACTTTATAAAAATGTGTCTCTCCAATAAACTTTCTGCACATCAGAATACAGAAGACAATAGATACACTTTAATTCCTGTGTAGCTCCTTATGTTATTTTGGGTCACAAAATCCTTTAGACAAATGGCAACTCTTCCCTCTGTCTCTCTCCTCTCTCTCTCTTTCTTTTTCTTTCTCTCTCTCCCTCTTTCTCTCTGTCTCTCCCCTCTCTTTCCCTCCTCATCCCCACCATGCGCACTTGCTATCCCAGAAGTTTCAGAAACACTCTCTAAGGTCCCTCTGTGGAGTTTGCATCAAGAACAAATGTTGTGTGTCAGAGGGTTTAATCCTGAACTTGGGTTTCTGTGTCTCTAGTTTCCCAGTGCCTGTACTGGATACTGCTTTTTCTAACACGTATGAAAAGAGGAACAGGGGGACCCTTGGGACTGAAGACATAGGTTCTTCTGAGATGAACTAGCTCATTCCAAACTC